TGTGGTGGATATATTTTAAAATATATATCAAAGATTAATGTCACCAGTTTCTCCTTTCTAAAATCTGACTACTGAAAAATTGAAAATCACATTTGTGGCTCGCAATGTATTTCCATCGGACAGTGCTACTGTAGAGTATTGGGCCCCTTGGGGGGTGGGGTGGCGAAGGGGAACGTGACAATTTATGAAATAAAATTTTGCTGAGTTTCCCTGGATGAACTAGCCTAAACCTGAGCACAAGGGGTCCTGGTTAAGCTGAGGAGAGGATGTCACCTGCACCTTCAATCCCAAAGGGAAGGCATGGGTGGTATCCCACCCCTCTAGGGCAGAGAGGAACCTTGCTAGGTCCATGTGTCTGAATGTCTGGGACAAATGTAAAAATTTGCAAGCCATTGTGATTAAAAACGACCGAAAAAGGTGGGCATTTTGAGCTTTACTATCTAAGCAGAACTCCAAGATATAATACCTTCAAAAGCTTAATCATCTAATCCCAAATCCATCTGACGATCACATTTCAGTTAGATTTGAGGATGGGCTGGGTGGGGTCGAAGGAGGGCCAAAAATTGTACCGTAAACCCCAGGAGAGGAGAGAAACTTTGCCAAGTTCGTCCTTGTACCCTTAGCGCCTAGAACACTGCCCGGCACATAGTAGGCACTTCTTAAATATTTGAATGAGTTAAGGTGCAAAATTATGTTAATGCCATGGTGGATTTCCCAGGAGAAAATTCCTCTGGCTTTTGTCAGTCTCAAAGGATTCGCAGGCTCACCAAAGGGTTAAAACCCACTTAATACAGACAGGGACGTGAAATTTATTTGAAATCAATGTCAAGAACTGGTTGTTTTTATTCTGGGGAATAACCAGACCTCGGCGTCTGGAAGGATCTACGTGCTTAAAAATACCATTCGCCACCATTTTCTCCAGGTAATTTTCCATCCCTGCCCCCACAGTCAAGGAAGGGAAAAAGTAATTGTGAAATCCTACCTAGCTATTTAAAAATAAATAAATAAATAAAACATTAAGCGGTAAAATAGAAAATCTCCAGGCGCTGAAAACGAAAAAGAAGAAAGGGACCCACGCGGGCCACTGGCGCCGCCGGGACCCCAGCCCCCCAAACTTTGCCAAGTTGCGGGCGCCGAGCGCGCGGGGAGGCGCGGGGCGCGGCCGCGGGCGGAGCCGCCCCCTGACGCCGG